TGCCAGCAACGAAAAGAGTTTTCTAGGAGCGTGGACAAGACACTCTCCATTTCATGAACAAAGCGAGATTTGAACGTTTCAGGAGGGTTGTTTGAGAAAGGGCAGAAGGACACACTTCTATAAACTGCTTCAAAGCGTTCTAGTCGTTGTGAGAGTATAGTCAACTGTCCCCGGAGCAAGGAATACTTGAGTGATATTTCAAATCCAATCAGTATATTCTATCTTCCTGGAATCCCTGTCGGGTGGTGTGATGACTGATTAAGTGTCGGCTTGTTGGGCAGCATTGTAGTATCCGTTCCATGGCTCGATTATTACATTATAAATGCGCTTTGGAGGGATGATCTGTCGGATGAAAGATGGCCTTGAAAAGCACGATGACTTTTGTGTGAGTCTGAGCGCGTATGCAATGTCGACAAAATCCTTCGAAGCTGTGACCAGTCGCCAGGGCGTCCAAGAAGCAAACCTGAGGCAGGCTAAATTATGACAATACATATCTTAGTAATGTTCCATATGTATGTACCTTAGGTAGGTTGGTATGGAACGCATACCTAGGTTACGGACAGACGCATCCAAGACCTGGTGGGCATTTGCATGAGTTGAGGGTCGAAATATCTGCAAGGGGCCTTGCATCCTGGGGTACGAGATTGGTATTCCACCCACTACTATCTACAGACTTAGTACGAGTTATTTAACGCAGATTGTGGCATTGGAAAAGGATGTGCAAGGCGAAAGTGACTTCAGAGTTGATTTTTCCATCGAGAATGGAAAAATAAGCTATGTCATGGACCTGAACATCAAACTCAACTCTCCGTAGGAAGTGATGTTGACAGCTCAGTAAGGTAGTGGTCGGTACAATATGCAAGGACGACAGAGAGCCTTAGAAGCAGGGATGTCATGCATCCACCACAGTTGAACGGAATTCAAAGCCGAACGCTGTGCTTGTGTAATGTCCCTTACTCATGCTCAAGTCCCTACTGCTACATGACATTGATATTTGTGGTGTTCAATCAAAGGCCGAAGAGGCTGTCGCGTTTGTGTCAGTCCTAAACTGACAGGAGGTCGCGTCGCGTACGCGTGCCACGAAATAAGAATTGAGAAGGCTTCTCGAATGTCAAAGAACCGAGTTATCACACAGCTTGGGATTTGATACAACTACGTAATATCAATTGCGGAGCACAAATATGCAGGACTATGAATCCTTGTACTGAAAATTCATGCGGCTGAAGTCTGTTAACTCCAAAGAACGCCAATCTCTGCTTCTTTGGCTGGACACGTACCTTACAGTGCCCAGAAGGCTAGGCCGTACACGGAAACCAGAACGCATACCGAAATTTTACTGTTCGAGTAGCTTAACTAAGGCAACGCCAGACTGCAGGCTCCAGCCAATGATACAATCATACCAGAGTCTCCAATTATTTCATGGATGTGGTTGTTGGTGGAGTTCAGCTGGCTTCCTACCCTCTCTTTTTTCACGTAGGTTGGACGTGAAAGGTGTACAGTAAGTATCTCAAAGACACCTACTGTCAGGCCTCGTGGATAGGGCGCTGCCTGCTGGTTGCTGGCTTAGACACTACTATGCCTGTGCCTCTTGGTAGGAACTACAGTTATCAATGGATTTACCTTGCTTCTTAATATATGTACTGACAGACAGCCCCAGTGCTGTGCAAATAATAATGAAACCATCGACCATGGCTCTGGGGCATAAGAGTGGGTCATTTTTCAGCCTTCCAAACTTCAAAGACCTCATTTCTCTCTCTTTGGCTACCGGTCCTGTCCAGAAGCTCATGGCTGAAAGAGTTTGGTAAGTGGCCACATTCCTTGTCCTTGAGTTCTCAGAGCCTGAAGATGTTCAGCCATTACTGACTTGTACAGGGATACAAGAATCTTTGGCACTGATTGGTGCCTACACTTCTAAGCTGAGTCCACCTTTCCGCTTCTACACTGTAGGCGGAGTCAAGGAAATTTAATCCCAAGCCATGACTGCTGTGGCTGCGAACGGTATCTAACCGATCTGCGAAATTTCCTCAAGTTCTCACCAGTTTGAATGGCCGAGACAGAGGCGGAGCCATAAAAACCAACACTTATGACGATAAGATCCATGGACGCGGATGGGACCTCGACGAGTCAGAGTGCAAGAACAAGACGAAAAAAAACCTCTGGGGCTCCTTAGCCCCAGACTGCATGTGCATCGGTTCAGATCCTTGCAGATTCTGTGCAGCAGCATTAGTAATATTACCTTCAATCTCGACCAGTCTGTAATGTTACTGTACAGGGCTGGTTACAGCTTGAAGTAAGGTAAGAATGGATGTCTCAACTGTAGATGATATTCATCATCACTTGGATCTTCATATACAGCCTGGATGAACTACTCCAAGCCTGTAGGCCAGCTTGAGTTCCCTAAGCCTTGAGCTGGAGAATTTAACCTGTAGAGTAGCAACCCTCCTCAAGCTGCCCTGTTCAGATTCAATCAACGATATCGATACTATTAGTGTACCTAACGGATTATTTAGCAGTTACCTGACCCAAAAGATTACTGGCCGAGGCCTTCGCCACAGATATTGTGGAATGAACCATCACTAGAACTGTTCGTTCGGATCTGGATGTGTCCTTGCTTCCCAAGATATACTGTCGCATAGCCGAACTACCCATCTACGGAGTAGAAGAGTATTAGGCATCGTGATCAGGGCACTCGCTAGATGAGGGAGATAGTATTTGTAGGTTGGTCGGACCGTCGGAGTGAGGTAGGTTCCTGAATTTCGGTATGTAGTTTACGCCATATGTAAGTGACTTTGTGGTAAATCCCGGTATGGCCGCGATCCCACCATGAAATCCAGATCTATGGAGTGCGCTAGACTGTACCTTCTACCTAGATAGATACCAACAGCCTAGGGCGGCAGGGCCCTAGAGGTAAGACTGTAGAAGGCTAGGACTATCTTGGGCAGGTATCTACATTATTACACTTGAAAGCCTGAAAGCCTGAGCACAAACCCTATCTATCTATCTTGGCATTGAGTGGTTAACAAAGACAAAGACGAGGAGCCTAGGTGCAAAAATAAATGCTAGGAAAATAGTCCTGTAATTTAGAATGACCCTTCTTTTTCCTTTTTCCTTCTTCATTTTTACTTATTTTTCAGTATTGTCAGTTTTGAAAGAAAGAGAGAAGAGATTCGGCAAAATGCTGTCCCACACCTGGCATTATTGGTGCTGTAAGATGATGCGCCCCTCTCTCTTCCAGGCAACCCGTCCTGGTGTTCAGACCTGTAAGGTAGGGTATTATTATTATTACCTTACTAGCTATACCTAATTATTATTCTTTGAATCTTGTTTCGTTTGTCCGTTCGTCTAAGTAAGCTATTCTTTGCGTCTACTGTTCGGGTCTGCCCTACCTGCCTGCGTTAGGTTGGTTGTAATTATCTCCAGGCATTCTTCCCAATTTTTCCCTTTCCCTCTTCTTTTCCCTCTCTTCTCCCCTCCTTCATCGTCTGAAGAAGAATATCTGACTCTTCTACCCCTCCTCTTCTCTTTTCTTCGTAATCACTCTCCTTCCTTCTCCTGTTTCTTGTTCTTGTCGGAAAAGACGGAGTCGGTTTGCGGATAGTTCTGTTACCTCATTCTTGTGCCTTTTTCAACTTTTTTCTTCACTTTTACTTCTCCACTTCGCCGGTCTTCATCGTTCTTGGTGTTTCTCGTCTCGTCGTCGTCTTAACGAGTAGTCTCGCCTCCGCGCCACGCCAATCGACCGCATATCGTATTTTCTTTTTTGCCTCTGCGAAAAGAAGTCGAGTTTAAAGGCGCTTCTATTTGATATACCTGGTAAGCCATAATGAGTTTTCTTTGCGCATTACGTCGACCCGCACGGTCCCTATCGTGCCATCTTCCCTCTCATATACCATCCCTACTGTTCAAAAGCGGTTGTGCACCTCTTGAAGTTCAGACCTTCTGCTCTGGGGTCTACATTCTTTCACGGCTCAATTCCCTCGCCGTCGCTATTGAATACCGCGCGGGCGTCACGAGGTTCGTCTTAAGAGTGTCCGTTGGCGCCGCCCACCACCTGCGCAAAACCGATTATCCTTTCGCCTTGACAGAGAGGAGCCCGATACATGTCGGACAGTCGGACCAACTCATAACGTCTTTCGATCGTATCTTCGTCTTTATCAAAAATACAATCCATTGTTATGGCTTTTGGTCCGACGGAAAACTTTCTGTCTGAATTGGCGGGGACGGTCGCAACCGGAGTGAACTTGAACCGGCGTTGACGAAAGCGGCCGCAACCTGGCTGAGACGCTGCTTCACGCTTCACAATACTCAATCGGTTTTCTTTTGGTCGCTTCGCTTAGCAAAGCAGCATTCCGACTTTCCCGTCACTTTTGGAGCTTCAGTCGCTGCAATCTTCGTCTTGGCAATTAGTGAATCAGTGAGAGCGCTGCGCTGAGTCGAATAACGGGGATTCGTGCCTCGACATTGTATGACATGCTTTGGAAATCGGTCGCCGGTATCTGCCTCGCGCTATACTTCAGCTTCAGTCACTCAGCGCTCGTTTCTTGAATTCTGCGATCTCCAGCCTCACTTTGCAGTCGCTCGTCAGATTATTGTTTCAATCGCAATCTTCTTGTGATTTTCTGAAGCATTATCCGCCATTGCGTCAATTCTATCTCGGCTTCTAAATCCTCATTTTTACTAACTACTACTTGTGTATTCCTGACAGGGAGCGAATTAGTTTTCTTTCGAGTATAAACGAGCGTACGCTGTTCTCTCCTTAACGACTCCCAACGAACTTTCGGTTGAACGAGCCGTTTTCGGGATAGAAAGATTTCGTGCTTTGAACTTCAGTTTCGAGGTACGTAAAGTCGCCAACTTGACCTTCCTGTCACGTCTGCGCCGTCACACCATCATTATATTCGATGAGAGCTATTTACGCGTTTTTTGTTAGTACTAATTGCTATGTTTCCAGATAACGTTAACGTGATTCCTATCTTTACGACCATCGGAGTTTAGTCAACATGTCTTTCCAAAACTTTGACTCTTTCCAAAACCAGCACCCGTCAGCCGACGCTGCTGCTGCTGCTCCAGGCGCTCCAGCAACTGCGGATACCACCATGACCGGCCAGACTGACCCCACCACTGGCTCTTTCCAGGGCCCTGCCCCCGGCGAGCCCTCGGCCGCTCCTGTGTCTCAGCAAGGCAATGAGGGAAAGACCACTCTCTGGTACGCTTAGCCTCGATCATCGCGCTTATGCGCATATTAGAAAAGATGTGAGCTCTTTTTTGCTGACCACGCTTCAGGATGGGCGAGCTTGAGCCTTGGATCGATGAGAACTTCATCCGCAACCTATGGTTCCAGATGGGTGAGCAGGTCAATGTCAAGATGATCCGTGACAAGTTTTCTGGGTGAGTTTACGGGAAACTTCTTCCTCTCTTGAAGGCGATCCTAATGTTGGTAGTAGGAGCAATGCCGGATATTGCTTCGTCGACTTCGCTTCCCCTGCCGCTGCTGCCAAGGCCCTCTCTCTGAACGGGACCCCCATGCCCAACACCAACCGCGTGTTCAAGCTGAACTGGGCCACTGGCGGCGGTCTTGCCGATAGAAGGTGAGTAATGTACAATGTAAATCTGGGTCTAACGGAGATTAACTTGTGCAGCCGTGACGACCGTGGTCCCGAGTACTCCATCTTTGTTGGTGATCTCGGCCCTGAAGTCAACGAATACGTCCTTGTTTCTTTGTTCCAGAACCGATTCCCGTCCTGCAAGTCCGCCAAGATCATGACCGACCCCATCAGCGGCATGTCTCGTGGCTATGGTTTCGTTCGCTTCTCCGACGAGAACGACCAGCAGCGTGCTTTGACCGAGATGCAGGGCGTTTACTGCGGCAACCGCCCCATGCGCATCTCCACCGCCACTCCCAAGAACAAGGGTCCTGGTGTTGTTCCGGGAGCCATGGGCATGCCTGGTCCCGCTGGCATGTACCCCCCAATGGGCGCTCCTCCCATGGGATTCTACGGTGCTCCTCAGCCCATGAACCAGTTCACTGACCCTAACAACACAACCGTCTTCGTCGGTGGACTCTCTGGTTATGTCACCGAGGATGAACTCCGCTCTTTCTTCCAGGGATTCGGCGAGATCACCTACGTCAAGATCCCTCCTGGAAAGGGTTGCGGCTTCGTCCAGTTCGTTCAGCGTCATGCCGCGGAGATGGCCATCAACCAGATGCAGGGATACCCCATCGGTAACTCCCGTGTGCGTCTCAGCTGGGGTCGCTCTCAGAACAACTCCGGCCCCGCTGGCAGCCCTTACCGCCCTGCTCCTCCCCCGCCTCCGATGTACCCCTCTATGGGCATGCCCCCAGCGCACCAGTACGGTGGTTTCGCGCCTATGAAGGTTGGTAGTCTCAATAATACTTCTGAAGCCCCTCGATCATCTGATGAAGCTCAGTTTGATTAACGAAGACTTGTACAGTAAAAAGCGTTCGTTATTCTGAAGCACCTGCAGGAGTTTTGCGTCATTCCAACGATGGGTCTTTTGTGTCATGACACGTTTGCTATTTATTACTGCGAAGGCTCCCCTCTATAGCTCTTGATGGGCATTCTCTCCTGTGCTACTCGTTTGATCTCGTATGAGCGCTTTATTCACCGCAAGATTGAGCTCTTCCTATTTAAACCTATCTCAATGTTCTTCGTCATGCCATTACCCCTTTCTTGTTTCTCTTGTTGCTCACCCATGCCCCGATGTCCCCGTCTATTCTCGTCATATTCGGCCCCTAGGTTACGTTGCTCATGTAACAGCAATTCAAATTGTTTATGCACTTTCACCCTTACCTTTTTTCGTCATTTCCTCCTGTCTCCTATACTCTTCGGGCAGGCATTCTGCGAAAAGTTCATCTCTCATGTCTTTCCCATGAAGCAATCAAGTCCATTCGTATTCCGCTATGAGGATGCTGCGCCATACTTTTTGCTAGACAGGTGGCCTGTACAACACCCTTGTTTGCCCTCCTGTTTCTTCGATTTAGGTTTCATGGAAGGTTATTTTTCTTTCCCACTCATTTAGCCTTTTCGTTTGTGCGCAAGAGGTCTATTTTGACCATGAAGTCGGGTGCTTTCCACAGGCATTGAGACGGAGGCGGATTCTCATCAGTTCATCGTCATACCATTGTAGGCCCTACAGAGGGTTCGTCGTTTGTCAATCTTCGCGTGCCTATGAAGTTCGCTCGGTGGCTCAATTGCATCATTGTTAAAGGATTTGCGGTGGTCTGTTACGCGACTGCGAGCAGTCTCTGGGCGTTCCAAGTATATGCAAGCGTTCGTAACTTTTCTGGTTCTTTGCAACTCTTGGAGAGGTCTTCTGTTTCTTCGATATTCATCCGCTTGTGGTGTTTACTCTCCTATCGTTTGTCTGCCCTTCACGGATGATTCCCCCTATACCTGACTAGCCTGCTGAGTTTATGTGCCGCTGCCTCTTCACAAATCGGAATAGCGAAATAGATAGCCTTCAATACGCTTATTGCCGCTTCATCCCTCCCACTACGCCTTAGCACAGTACAAGACTCCTATACCATGTTTCGTCGCAAGAACTAAGGGCGCAAGTGTCTCGGCCCAGAGTGTCGTCAGTTAATCTCTTTTGACGCCCTCCTTCCGATATAGGAAATTCTATTCCCAAGTTGCTTATTAGAGCAGGAGCACCCACTGGTACCTAAATATCGCCTGATTTTGTCTTCACCTTCCCGTCTCCATTCTCCATTGACTATCGTCTTCGAGTTCAGTTACTCAGGACTTCTCTTTTCGTCCTTGGCCTGCACGTGCATGTGCTTTTCATTTACTTCAGTATTCTCTACAAAATCCAGCTTCATGAGTCAGCTCTCACTCTTCCCGAGACTCGAAACCGCATAAGTTCAGGATGCGATACGAGAACTGGGATGTGCTGCTCTTCCCTGAGAGCTCCAAGGTGCCGATTCAGGAGTTTAGGACACAATGCTTCGTGACCCAAGAGGAAGGTCGGTGCCAATCCAGTCAGCAAGTACGACATCCCTCACTCATGCCACTACAGTGGAGACTCCGTATATCAACAGCGCTGCCATCGTCAATCCTAGCTCTTACTTCATGCCGCGAGCTTCTGTAGTCCAACTGCCAGTCCTCACCACTTTCATCCCGAGTTTGCCTCAGAATACCCCGTTCCGAGTATCTGTTCATAGCTGGGACAAACCTCGTCCCAGCCTTCTAATGGAGAGTTTGATGCAACCAGATGATGCCTTGCTCTTTGAGATTCGGATCTTTATTGATGGGTTATGTGTTTCGTAAGCCCATTCATCTGATGCAACCCATTCAAGCTCAAGAAATGTGCTAAACTGATCTACAATGCCCGACAGAGGAAGCGTTTTCGGGCAGAGAACTAACTGGCCGCACATTATTGGTAACTTGGGCTTCTCGTCCCTTATTCACATTGCAAGAGGACTGACTGCTTGTCCTGTCTATCCAGAGCTCAGTTCTCGTAGGAGTCCCTTCCTCATCCTCTTCTGAGAGTACACTGACAGGCTTTGAAGATGTTGATAAGAACGGAGATCAGGATTACCTTCGTTTCCCACCCTTCCACCAAGAGATTCTGGAACAGAGACATTGGGAAGCTGGAGACTTGCATGGCAGGATCAGAGTGGCTATAGCTGAAGGATTCGCTCGGCCAAACCGTAACCCTCCGTTCGAGAGAGTCAAGGATGTAATTGCGTTGTCCTTCCAGCATGCGCCGCTGCGTACGTACTTTCTCTTCTCTCTAACCTAGTGATCTCGGCTGATTCCAGAGCAGAAGTCTTAGAGTGCTCTAACATTGCCTGGCCTAATTCTGGCATGTGGTGCCGTGGGCAGCGCGTCTTCAAATACAATGCTGGAAGCGTTATGAGCGGTGCAAAGCAAGAAGAGGACCTTCACGCCCACTCGCCCACTCGACATGAGAATCGAAGCGTGGTAGCCAACAGCAACCGAGTCAGTAAGCCAGCGGCTTACACAGCTTGGCCGTATAGGAATTATCCACCACCTCCCCCGCCTCTGTGGCAAAATAGCAACAAGGAAACAGCTTGGACATATCAGCATACTCAAGAACCTCTCATGGCTGACCCTTTTATCGATCCACACATCCTTGACCCCGCTGCACGCCATCGAGGGGCAAGACCATCTTGGGAGGACGTGTGTATGCCTGATTATATTTCCAGTTCATCCAGCAGCCGCGCTATATCCAGTATGACCGGTATAAGCTACGAGCATAGCAAGCAACCAAGCATTGTTGCTCCTATTGATGAGGAAACGTATTCTCAACTTTTCGAGGGAGTCAGTCCCCCAAAGCCTCTAGCCTGCAATTCTCAAGCACCCAAGAATACGCCATCAGCACTATCTCTTGTAGCTCCTAAGCTTGCTGCCGCCGAAGAGCGTTCATCGTCTTGTGTCAAGACTGCAAGGCGCCCATCGATTCTGAAGGACTTGTCGCAGCCAGGGTCCAGAAGCGTCTCTGGTTCCAGCGTCAAATCCAATCTCCCTGCCGAGGGATTGCTGGAAGCTACAGCAACTTGCAAACTGCACGTTAGTCCAACTACACAGATCAGGAGCAGAAAGGAGGGAACCCCTTCGGATAACAAGGAGAATGAGACCTCAAGCGAGACACCACGCCGGGATAATGACAAGGTCGACCGTACACCTATCAAACTCGCCGTGCGCACAAGTGGAAATTTCGAGACACCCATCGAGTCCAGACGACGCCGTTCTACCACGGGTTCTGCTCGTGGAGGTGTGAGCCTCATTGCAGAAAAGGAGACGTTGCTCCTCAGTCCGTCCACGAACTTGACAGTGGTCGAAGATCATGATCAAAACGCAGGCTTTGATGACTTTCTGGATGCGAAACTTCAGATTATCGACACTGCTGCCGATACAGTTGAGATTGACTAACTCGGGCCACCAACATATGCTCCTAAGTGTCAATAGCAGCTGAGGGGTGATGTATCCTTCGAGAGTTGCTTGGTTTGCTATGCCTGCTACGTTTGCGGCCTCATGCTCTCCGAAGAATCCACACTCATTGATTGTTATATATGCTTCTAAACATATTATTATTGACGACAAGGTTGACCGGTGTTGTAGAGAGGTGATTATTGATGGACCTCCCATCAGAGAAAGACGTTTATTATGCTCAGTTGGTCAGCCCAGCTTTCATCAAAGGTTCCATAGCAGATACAATTACCGTATACTTAGGGTCTGTAAGGCAAAAGACGGTATACTAAACAGTTACCTAGTGAAGATCCATGCGCTCCTAGAACAATCCAGACAAAGATTGATTCGAGTCCAAATCAGCTCGTCATCCTGTTCCCTTCTGAGTTTGCCTCATCATGTTCCCTATAGAGCCCTCACGGCTGTTCTGCTACTGCTAGATACAGTGCATTAGCTCATAAGGTAGGAATGTAAAAACAACAGGACCCGAGGTCCCGAAGTGAGATGGCAGAGATCACCTGCATGACCTCTGCTGCTGCTACATTAGTTGCAGGTGCCTTCTGCGTATTCACACATTCACCCCTTTTGTTTGTTTACTCACCCACATGCTTACAGTCCATCTCATCTTGTGTTCATCTCTCTCCTTCTGCTCCATATCACATCCTCTTCTTTTCTCATCCCAATAGATCATCATTCGGCATGGATTCCTCTGAGAACAATCGTCTAGCCTTTGGCGTCACCGCGTTTCCTTCCAGTACGCCTCACCAAGACAGCAATCAATCTGGACCTAGTCATCAGATTGGTTTCACTTTTCGCCACCCTCAGGCTTGTGGAGGGTTTTCTCAATGGGCCTCAAGTTCAGCTGGCCTGTTGAATGCTTCACCTTCTGTGGGTCATGCTCCTGACGTCTCTGAGAAGACTAATCCAACTACTTCTGATTGCAAAATGGAGCTAGATGCCGCCGAAAATGCTCCTCGTACCGTCGCAGAAGGGGCGCTTGCGGCTTCAGCCGCTGTGGTACGAGGAGAACAAAAGCAGGTCAATTCTCTCGGGCTACTTGCTTCTGAGGCCATCGCCCCTGACAAGACTGAAATGTCGGGGGTAACGAGCCTTGTGCCACTTGCAGCTAGTGCATCGCGGGCATGCGTGGTATTTGAACTTCAGAGCGTAAGCCTATTTCACTCGAGCTAGAGCTGGGGATCCTCTAGGATACCTTTTTCATCTCTATCCCATCAGACTATCGGTAATGCCGAACTGACGGAAATTCAATGCAGGGCCCAGAAAAGTGCCTGCCCCTGGGCTCTCTCGATATATCCACCATTCGCAACGACAAAGTCCTTTATTACTTTGGTGTACTGGCAATACAGGCCCTTCTACTTCCAAAGTTTCAGTGTGACTCTAGCAAAAAGCGTGGCTTTTGGAAAGGCAAGTTGACTTTGTACGGGCTAACCTTTGAGTCGGACTATACCTTCCATACACCCCTCCAAGCCAAAAGCGCTATGGCCCGTAAGGCCCTTGAGAAGCTGCAGAGCCCCTACTCCTCCTGGAAGGTGCCGCCTGAACCGATGGACTGCCCTCTAGCGACGGGGTGGGGTTGGACAGACATCTTGAAAGGTAGCTAACAGATCCTCGCGTTGTGATGATAGCTAATGACCTGATCTGACAGATTACTGCATTCAGAATGGTTTGCCGGAGCCAACATATACCGAGTACAGTCACAAGCAAGGTTGTCGCCATGAGGCTCATGTAGCCAACTTTTCACGCTTTGGAGTACTCAAGCAATACAATCAGGAGTGGAACTCAAGGAATGCCGCTGCCCAAATGACCTTGTATGCGCTTCTGACGTTTGGTCAACTTCCGCCGGATGGCATCAGCGGAGCGGCCGCGCTACGAAATTTCGACGAGGGCCTATTAGTCGTGGTCCCTAGAGAAACAGTCGAAGCGGGTATAAGCAACGGGAAAGATATTTCAAAGGGCCCACGCAAAAGGCTTGGTGATGATCATGCCAACAAAGGCCAAGTTAAAAAGCGAGGGTTCAAAAGCAGCTCTGAGAGCATCAACGCCAACCTTTTACCCTTGGCGGGCAACGCTAGGTTGATACCAGTTGAAGAGCGCGAGGAAAACGTAGAAAAGAGATGGAGCGTCAGCTATTGGGAACTCAAGTCAGAATTGGAGAGAGGCTGCGAGACACACACAGGAAAGCTTCAGAGTAAGGTCTCATCATTGCTATTTCACTCCACTCACCCTTCTTCTCCTACTGCAGGTTGTCCTCACACTGACTTTTTGGGAATAGGAATATGTCAACTGCTCTCTCTAGAAAACCCAGAGTTCCGGATTGAGAGAAACAACGGCAGTTGGAAGGAAGGCGATTACAACGCCGCTGCGTATTTCAACAATGACCCCTTCCTGCGTCGTGCAAGTCCGATCGGAGAGTCCAAAGGCAGCATGTCCGAAGCCAAAGAGGCCTGTGCCCAAAAAGTGATTACATATCTCATCGAGATGGTGAGGGAAGACACTCGTTTGGAAGATGAGGCAGCAAGACAGAGTGATAGGATCAGAAACTGGGGGAGCATTAGCCGCTAAGTGGACTATCTCCGTCTCAGAGTGGTTTCAACTGTATGACTAGAGGATCGCGCATCGAACGCAAACGAACCTGATGTTCTCAAATCTCTATATCAATCGTAGAGCATTGAAGGGTAGAAATGAGCAATTACTCCCGTTCCATCTTCGCAGGCATAATTCATATCCCTGTTAGATTGAACAAAAGCTAGGCTGTTACAGATTGTATGGGACCTGCTACCATAAATTGGTTTGTTGAGGCCATCTGCCGCAAGCCCTACCTCCATTACCTTGTCAATGAACTTGCAACTTGAGAACACTCGGCCTGAGCATTCTCTGAGCTGTGTCTAGCCTGGCAAGGGCTGGCAAAGTCCTGGTTCGAGTTAGAGTAATGAAAAGCAAGCGGATGATAGGGCTGCCATCACAGCTATCGTCAGAATTGCTAGGAAGTGGATAACCCCAGCCAGAAGGACGCAGCTTTCTTCCTGAATTGTCGACTAAGGAAAGGAAAATAATACTATTAGGAAACTACATCATGGGCGATTCTCCGTAAAAGGCCTTTCAGGATCACTGAAGACAGAGAAACTGACTAGGAGAAGAGATGTTTGAAGGTCTGCAACTTCCTCAATTCATAAGCCATTTCCGGAGAGGATCCTCTCCTTGACTAGGGTCTCATCATTTAACGCCGCAACGTACAGGAACCACTGACCGGAGCCAAAACAGGAGACAACCAAAGAAAGAAGCTCAAGGTAAGCAGGATAAGAGAACAGTAAAGGGGACAGAAGAAAGGCACATTTTGAGGAGAGAATCTAAAAGATTCTGAAGGGACAATGAGGATTTATGTTTAGTTATAACTTGCTGCCCATTCGGAAACTCACGAGAATAGAATATTAAGTAACGAGGTAGAAATAAAAGTGGGAGAAGGAAAAGAGAAGAATGTAGAGGCTCATAGTCACAGATACCCAGGTGAGTCAGATGCCGTCAAAGACAGTGGAAGGCATCTTGATAAACTGCAAAAAAGGAAGGGATATGCATGGAAGAATACGACCAACGCCAGTCTCACAGCAAGTATCCAAATCATGTCGACAGACAAGTAACAAAGGAAATGAGAAAAGGAGAAGAATAACAGAGCAACCGAATAGCACAAGTTGGGCACAAGTTTGGAAAGTTTATGAAATGTACAGAGCAAGGGTATAATGGAGTTTCAAAATTGAAGAACCGACGGACTCATTTATAAGCCATCTCCGGCACCGGTCTCAACACCATCTGTTGGATAGGAGATGTTTGGATCAAATCCGAATCCAGCAGTATCCGCATCAGTGTTGAGGAAGGTATCGAAGTCGAAGTTCTCAAGGATATCGGGGTTCTCTAGAGCGCTGAAATCAAGATTGAACGCAGACGCCTGTTGTCTGAATTAGTAACCATCGCTCAACGGGAACTGGACGAAGGAATGGAAGAATATCATACATCAGGGATGCTGAGGTCATTGAAAGACTGCTGGGTCTGATCCGGGGGTGGTTGTTGCACTATAGGTTGAGGTGCTGGTGCCGATGTTGGCTGCTGAGGAGCACCCGTCGTCGGATTCGGCCCCGCCTTGTTGAAGGAGCTAGGATGCTGAGGGGTGATCGGCGTCGACGGAGTGGGTGTGGTTGGAGGATGTTCGGCTTCGGAGGAGGGTGTAGCAGCCGTGTTCGCGGCGGCAGCAGCGGCAGCAGGTTGCTTCTTTGTGGTTCGCTAGAATTGCGTTCAATACAGGTAAAACAAAAACAGTGGATATAGTAAAACATACCTTCCGTGCAGTGTCCTTGGGCTCTTTCTTCTTCGGTGCCGGTTTACTCGTCTGCTGAGGCGTCGGAGGAGCAGCGTTCTGGGTTTGAGGAGACGCCCGACCAGTGTTGACACCAGCCGGCGGAGCCTGAGGAGGCGGCATGGAGTTCTGAGTCTGAGGTGTCCCAGTAGATTGAGGCTGCTGGGCCGGAGAATGTTGTGGTGCCATGGGTTGACCCTGTTGCTGCTGCCAATTGCCACTCGGAACCCGGTTGACTGCTCCAGCCTGAATGGGCTGGCCCATTTGAGGTCCGGTGAAGGCCGGATTAGAGCTCGGCGGACGCATACCGTTCGGACCGGCCATAGCATCCGGCATGCCCTTCATGAAGAACTGGCCGCCAGCCATGTCAGGAGGCATCTGGCCGCCGTTGAAATTCATCGCAGCCGGCGATCCACGGTTCTGAGCCATGGCGTCTGCCGCGCTTGGTGATCCTGGGAGACCAGTCTGAGGCATTTTCGGCGTACCTCGTTTCATCTGATCGTTGGGGTTTGGTGACGTGCCCGCCCTGCTACCTTGGGGAGAGGTGCCTGGAGGCAAGCCTTGTTGCCCAGGCATCGGGGGCTGGCCATCAGTGCGAGACATGCTGTCCTGCTCTTGACGAGCCATCATCAGACGCCGCTTATTCTGCTGTTCAAGCAGCATCAACTGCATTTGATAATCCTGGAGAGCATGGTTACCGTGCTGACCGCCAGGTGTCTGCATCCCAGCCCGTACCTGGGCCATCTGACCATTCGCGCCGTAGTAGTCGCCATTCATCGGATACATACCCTGGCCGTCTGGCATAGGCACCAGATCGGTCTGGTTCGGCATCACACCGGGGTTCATTAAGCCATTCGGAATGCCCTGGTTATTCAGTGCTGAGCGTGAGTGATGAAGGGCTAAGTTCTGAGCATATACCTGGATGGATTTTTGCTGAGCAGCAGGACCTGGTTGCTGGAAACCCGCAAACTGGGCCGGATTCATCGCCCGTGGGTTGAGTCCGTTCTGCATCAATAGCGCTTGCGAGTTTGGCTGACCCGGCATGCCTTGTCCTTGGCCCCGCCCATTGGGCGCCAACTGTTGCCCGTTCATAGGACCGTTCTCGAGGCGTGGCCGCTTCGAGGGTGAAGGCGCATTTTCCGCAGAGGAGGGAGATTGTGGGCGGTGTCCATTCATGTCCATGTCAGAATGCTCTCTTTGCATCTGCTGCATCATATGCATCTGCTGGTTTTTCTGAAGCTGTGCGATTTGCTGCTGCGAACTGTTTGAGTATTCAATCAGTACAGGTTCTCGCGCAAGACAGCCGGGCTCTGAAGAGGATACGTACAGTCCGCCGGTATTGTTCTGCAATACGGTCTTCTGAAGGTTTGCAGGGACCATGCCGTTGCGGCGCATATTGAGGGGACCCATCTGACCGGGCATCACTGGTTGTTGCCGTAACAATTGATTGTGTTGCTGCTCTCTTAGCCGCATCATATTCTACGAAATACCAATTAGACTCATTTCATCCGGAGCAGGAGGAGCGGGGAATTACCTGAGTGTGTTGGAGATACTGTCTCACGTCGTTGCTGTTCCCTTTCTTGCGCTGAGCCCAGAAGAAATCCCAGAACAGACTGAACCAATCTAAGAGGAAAGAGGATTGTTGACTTTCGCTGGCGAGATTAGGTCGAGGAAGGTCATCAGGAATCTTAATCTTATCACCGTCCTTGCTATCGGTCATCATCGCATCGCCTTCGACGCCATTCATGTCTTCACGACGGTGACCCGGACTTGTTTTTGTTGGGGGTTCAGTGTTCAATTTGATCGACTCGTCTTTCACGAGAGCCCTTGCACATTCATGATAGCCACGTTTCAGAAAATAGTCATAGATGTAGGTGTTGAGGTTGTTGATCATCGTCTCAGGTATGTTGTTCACATTTCCATCGTTACGAGGAGCCGTGGAACCGTTATTCATCATAGGAACACCACCGACCGGGCCCCCAACCCCAGGATTCATCCCCGTCACATTCATCTGATTCATGGTGGCACTGCGAGGAGTCTGGCCACCCTCGCCTGCTGTTGGTCCCTTATGAAAGCCGTCGGCGAGATTCTGTTTCAGTGCGCATCCACAGTCTCGAGGCGAGATATCTCACCACAGATCGAAGACGAGGCGCGCGTGCGGATTGGTGGTATGGGGGTACTGGAAGATAGGAGAAGGCGAAGTGACCGGCGCTTCGAACTCAACAAACAATACCTCTGGGTGATTCCCTTTTCGAAATCAAGCACAAATACAAGATCGAGAACCAAAGTCGATATGCCCGAACCAACTCCAGATAGCGTCCACAAATCTACCGATGTAAGTCAGATACCGCGCTGATGCGAGTGCAAATTGAGAAAAACAGTGACTACCCACTGGGAAAAGGAAAACAAGTGTGATTGTCTCAGGAGTAGACGCGAATGGGGACAATGTTGTAACAATCGATGCTTTTCACGCGCAATCGGGGAAAAACCAGTATGGCACGGTACGTGGGATCTCTTAAGGGATCTATTGATCTTAGGTAAGGTTGGGACAAAAGCGAGAGGGAGAGAGTGTAATAGAACAGCCAGAGGGAAAAGTGCGCGATAAGATTAGTCGGGGTGGTTCGATGAGCGACAAGAAGGGGCGAGAGGCGCAAGATGATGGAGGAGAGGACGGGTGCGGCGCTTTAGGGGAGGCAGGTCAAATCATGCCCCAACGGGCACCACTTGGGGAGAAAAAGAGAACGAAGGAAAAGAATTCAAGACGGAAATACCTCGATGAGCTGTGGAAGAAAGAGATGACGGTGGATTCGGCAAATCCGGCCGATCTTACGAGGAAACGGTTGGAGGAAGAGGAGGAGGGGGAAAGAGGCGAAGGTTAGGACAAGGTGTGAAGCGGTGGATCTGAGGTGATCTGGTGGGTGGGAGGACGTGGATATCCAGCGCGGTTCCTGGAGGTGGTGCTGGGCTTCCTTTACCCTTCAGTGGCACGTCGGCTGGGCGTAAATCGCTTGTTCGGCTCGGATTAACTTGTGCGGAACTCGGCGGGAGGGCTGGGAGATGCTGCGTTCTCGCGTATTTCTGAGCATGCAACCCAGAGAGGCGAAGAAACGGGACTCCCGTCGATACTTTACAAAGCGAGAATGGTAAAAAAATTAAGGCGATAAGAACTGATGGATGACAACAAGAAAATGACGGAGATCTAAATTTATGGGTTCAT